TCCAGGACCCATGAAGACCAGCTGGCTGGCACACCGGAAACCAGAAGAGCAGCTGGCGACAGAGAGTGCTTTGCGTGCCACCTCTGGCACACGTGCCATAGGTTCGCCATCACAGTGATATAATAATATAAAATAAAATAGAATAGAATAATAAAATCAAGCCAAGTACTGCAAAATTTTCTGAGTTCAGAATACGCCAAGCTCAGAACAGCGGTTTCAAGTGTTCCAAGAACCCTGCATTTCAAAGTTATGTTAAAAAATTCAGATAAAACAAGGACAGTTCCTAAGTCTGTGTAAAGCAATGTGTATTTGCTATGATAGAGATCTGCACTCAGAATGAGCATATCTGCAACTATGGTATATTAAAGCATATGGTTGGGAACTGGGGAGTTGAAGAAGTGTTAACACATCCACAGTGCATTAGACCAGGAAGTTGTGCCAAGTTATTAGTAGGAATACTATCTTTGAGATCAGGTGACAATCACATTTTGTAATATGTAACCTGTGGAAATAGCTGAATAGAATAGAGACCCACTAGTCAAGGAGTTGGCCATGAGAGGACACACTAATTGTTTTAGGGACTACATAGTCAAGTTGTAAACTGCAGGATAAACAATTATAGGAAGACAAATTTCAGGTTGGCTCTGGTTGAACCTAACTGATAGCAGCATTGTTTAGTGATATTTTCAGCATCATTTCTATGAAAATGACTTGTTTGTAAATAGTTGAAAGCTGAACCTTCCATTTAAACCACTCCCCCTTTCTACACTATTATCTGATAAGGCTACAGTATGTGGTGCATTGATCTCTTTGATTCTAACCTTCATTAATTTTAGAGATCCCTGAAGATGGAACAACTTTGGTGCCAGCTAATTAAATGCTCTCTAGAGTTTCTCTCCATGCATTTTACTAGGCTGAAATGAACTCTTTCTTTCAATGCAATCTACAAAGATTTTTGCCCCCCTAGCTATTACTAATTAAATGATGCTGTAAGAATTTCTATTACATTTTAAAACATCAGGGAAACAAAACTGCACATCAGAATTCAGGTAAACACTCCAAAAAGGAGGGAAATATTTTTTTCACATTTTGTTACTAGCTGGCATCCCTTCACATATAGCTTAAATTCTCCTTTCATCTTAACACTGCTCCGAATGATGCTAATGAAATACTGGAAGAAGCTGTCAGCTTTTGAGCACCTTCAAGACTGTACAAACTAAAAACACATTAGTATGAAAGTCTTTCTGCCACAGTATAATTTTTTTTATGCGCAACAATAATACAGAAAAGGAGAATTCGCAGTGACTTAAAGTACCTTACTAATTAAAGTCTCCATAAAGAATAAACTTGCCTTCACAGGCATATCAAGATGGAAATGAGACCAATCACAATTTTTAGCAGCCTGTTTATAAAATCTATTTTTTACTTGGTTAAGATAAAAATGAGAGGTGTTTGGGAGCCTGGAGAGTTAATTAATGGTAAAGGACCTTTGTGACTCTCTCTCTCTTTCTCTCTCTCTCTCTCTCTCTCTGTGTGTGTGTGTGTGTGTGTGTGAGTGAGAGAGAGAGAGAGAGAGGGAGAGACAGAGACATAGACAGAGAAGCAATGGACAGTAGTCTTGAGTTGCGTGCATGGAGAAATCTTTCCAAACTATGATCCATTCTGAAATGATCAGATGGACATCTTATCCCACCAGTAAAACAAACCAGTTAAAATATAATGTGAATAAATTAATTTTTATTGTTAGGCTTCCCATATATTGCATCTCAACATCAATGAATGAAAAATAATAGATAATACAGGGTGGCAGGATGCAGTGAGGAGTAATTTCCAAGCTTGAAATTTTAGGCCTGGATAGCCTTGAACTATATTCCGACCTAAGCTTAGTACACAAGATTATTTACCGTAACGTCCTACCTGTTAATGAGTACTTTAACTTCAACTGTAATAACACAAGGGCTATCAATAGATTCAAACTCAATGTAATTCGCTCTAATCTTGATCGTATGATATATGACTTCTGCAATAGAGTAGTAAATATCTGGAACATTCTACCTGATCATGTTGTTAGTCTCTCTAACCCCCATACCTTTTACCTTAAACTGTCTACCGTGGATCTTTCATGTTTCTTAAGAGGTCCCTATGGGGGCGTGCATAAGTGCACCAGCGTGCCTACCGTTCCTGTCCTACTGTTCCCATTTATATGTACTCATTTTACGTGTTTATGGCGGTTTTGCTTATTTATATCCTTTTATTTGTGCCAAATTTTTTTCATGTGTCCATGTCTGTGTTTATACTGTTACTTGTTTCCTTGTACTTGATGACTGACAAATAAATGAATGAATGAATGAATGGCAGTGTAGGAACTTTGATAATATTTTGCCATCAATCCTAAAAAAATTGTTATTATTGGATTGTTAAAAATGCTAGTTTGGGTTCTTTTATCAGCATATGTAAATATAATTAATAAATTCTAAATTCTGATACATGCATTATAGAAGTGACTATAGTACATGCCTCTTAAGTATCTCTGAGAAACATACAATATAGATACTGTAATGACAGAAGCATTTCGTTTTCCAGGCTCATATTACTCTGTAGAACCATCAAATGCCTGATAATGGCTCAACAAGCTAGAACTTTGTTACTTTGTTAGACTATTATCACACATTAGCCATGTACAGCATTTCCACAGTTAATATTTTAAGAATAAGCCTCCCAAAATTTCCATTTCCAACACAAGCTGTGCATTTGTGTGTCCTATGAGCAGCATTTGGCTTCCTCCTAATTTTGCTGCAAAGTCAGAGTGTTGTTTAATACCACCCTAATGAAAAAAAAGTTATTTATCTGAGGAAGCAAAAAAATCTCGCTTTTCTAACAAAACAGGAACTAAGGGAGAAAAATCAAGAGTGAACAAATGTTTAATGGTTTGGCAAGATATATGTGGTCATTTTCTTCACACATGGAGCTCAGTTACTATTTGACAGTTCAGCAAATGGCTCACAAACAGAATAAACTTCTCTATATGACTCTGGTGTCTCCGTGGAGCCAAGACTGAGACAGCAACATATGGAACATGACAGAAGTGTCAACATGGTCCACAATGACTGCCTTGTATTTTGATCTAAAATTTTGATCTAAAATTTATACATTGGAGTCCTACTCTACTCTAAACTGTACTAGGTGTTCAACTCTTTCATATCGAAATGGGGTGTGGTGGCGCAGTGGTTGGAATGCAGTATTGCAGGCTAATTCTGTCAACTGCCAGGAGTTTGAATCTCATGGACTCCAGGTTGACTCAATCTTCCATCCTTCTGAGGTCGGTAAAATGAGGAACCAGATTGTTGGGGGCAATATGCTCATTCTGTAAACCACTTAGAGAGGGCTGTAAAGCACTGTGAAGTAGTATATAAGTCTAAGTGCTATTATCAGTCTGCTTCAGAGGTACAGAGGAATAATACAATGGAAGACAAATGCTATATCTCTGCTCCAGGTATAAGACAGTGTTAACAGAGTTTGCTGGGTTTTATAGAAAGCTATATATAAAAATAGAAGACTTTTTCTATGCATCTCTACATTGACTAGAACAGTGGTTTTCAACCTTTTCTTCACCATGGATCCCTTTTTATGATCATGAACCAATAAGACTTAATTCAAGATTTAAATCATAACATTTCTTCAAGCCTTTGTGGACCCCATCACAGGCCACTGGTGGGGCCTGTGATGTCATCGTGGCCCTGCCAGTGGTCTGCAGATCACAGGTTGAGAACTACTGAATTAGAGTGTATGAGGTAAGAAAATACCAGTTACAACTCCCACCGTTTGCTTAATAGGGCTATATGTTAACAGTTTTCCTGCCTTAATATTCATGCAACATACAAATCCATACTGTAAAAAATATTTTTCCAGTCAATGAATGTATGAATTTATTGTCAGTTCTACTTCAAAATTCTTGTCTTCCCTGAGCTATACTTCCTTTCTTTTCTGCTGTTGCCCACTATTGACCTTCACATGATCAATTTACGGTGTAGCAATTTCTTATACTCTGTATAGTGCTGTGTAATCTAGTGATATTTTGTAAAAAAAAGCTTTATTAAGCACATTTTGTCTTTTCAAATATAGTTCCTTTGGGAGCATACAAAGACATACAACATTTATTCAAAAAGTTGCAGAAAAGGCTTCAAAATCCATTTTTTTTCCTTCTCACCTTTCTCTTCATGACCAGAAAAAAAAACAATCTCTACCTAAGCCATTTTAATTTCATTACATTTTGTTTAAATAACACCTGGGTTGTATTACTTCAATTTTTGGATCTTGTGTAGTTTGTTCCACAAAATAGGCCTAAGAGATTTCTGCTTTCTCTTTGTAACTGACCACAACGGTGCTCTCTTAAATGCCCAACTAATTGTTTAACCTATTTTTTGCTCTTCAAATTTTACAAAGCAGTTTTGATACAAACATCTGGAGCTAAATAGAACATAATAATAGTCTACAGTATCTACCTTGGGATACATTATCATTCGATGCTTATAAAAACACCAAAAGGCTTGAAAATTCATAAAACCTCTAACAAGCAGTACACTAATAACGTATTTTTCTCTTGTGTTTCTTTCTGTATATGGCCAACTACAATAGTCATATATCATTTGACAGTACCAACCTAAACACTTAAGTATGAAGCTATCCTGCCTACAAATTTTAAAGCATGGAAATTGGCACCTTAAGCAAATGGAGTGAAGTAAACATACAGTATTAAAATCCTTTGTATTAACATATATGATTGAGGATCTTAGCCAAAAAGAAACAAAATGACAATTAGAAGATAATGGACAGGACTTTTTCTAATGAAGTGCAATAACACCAGCCAAAAGAGTGTATCTTTTAAAAACACTAATTTGAGAGTTTGATTTATTAGTGACATGTATAAATAAAAAACCCAACAAAGCACTTTCTTATTAAATTGGTGAAATAATTATTTTGGTCTGCAATGCAGGACTTACCGATCTTTCCCAGTTTCCTTTTTAAATATCTCATCACAGTAGCTCATGCGTTTTTCAGTGGTCACATAGATTTTGGCCTCAGGATAACTGTCCACAGTCTTCTTCAGCATATTATATACAATGCCGCTTCCATCTTTTCTCATATTTCGGAAAGGTCCCCAGATGACATAAATTGTACTATTGGTTTCCTTGAAAAAGTAGTCTGCATTCTTCAGCAAAAGAGGGACACTAGTATGGGAGACAACTCTTATTGTTGTCCTTTTTCCAACGTCTTCTTCATAGCCCTTGGTGGGAGCATTATTCATTCTCCATATACAGGAAGCTTGGTCAATTTCAGATCCTACTTTCTGTTCTGTCATCTGACCTGAGTTTGAAATAATGGCACAGAGATCACATTCCAGCTGCAGAGGCTGTTGGAAAGGAAGATGGCGGAAAAAACCAGTCAATCAATTTTGCATGAGACTTGGAAGCAATTGGGGAGTAGAGGGTCTAAAGATCTGGAATCAGGTTATATGGATTCTATGCATGAATAAGTACCCACCAAAGATCTCTGATCCACTACTAATAGCAGTTATATCTATGAGTATCAGGGGCCATGGTGACTTTTAGATCGGATCAAAAAATATCTTTTTTATTTTAGTTAGCTTATGAATGATTATAATGCAAAAGCCAACAATGGGTTTAATTTAGAGGGCACCGAGTAAAGTCTACATAAAATTATCTTTTTCAGCATCTTTTTATCCTCAGTCAGAATCTGCTGCTTAAGGTAAGTAGCTCACTTGTCTAATTGCAGCTCTGATTGTAATGCAAAAAGGATAGCTGGAGAAAACTGCAGCATGCACAAAAGTAGATTTAAAAAGAGCAAAACAGGAAGAAGCAACAACAGCATACTAGAGATAAAAGTCTGCCAAAGGGAATTTTGATGAAAGAAATTGTGACATGAAAGAAGCAGAATTATAGGGGATGAGCAAGTGAAAAGGAAAGGCCAATAGAAAGAATTGTGGAACTATTAAGATAGAGCATGAAAGAAGCTTCGTAGACTTGTTTCTGAAGCATACTCGTTGTGCATTTAAAAGAAAAAAGGTCAGCAGGTTGGAAGTTCAATGGATACAAGAAAGGTATCCTGAGATGATAAGAAACCTTGGCTGTGCATATCAATACATCACCAATCCAAATGTCAGTTCAATTTGGATCAATTTGGCTCACTGATTCAATTTGGATTTCTGAACTATCCTGGGTTTCCAAATCAGATAATTTAAGGAAGTCAGACTGATTTGGAAAGTAAATTCAATTTAGAAAAGGACCTTTCTGCAAATAAGATACCCAGCCATAGAGTCATTGGATTAATTTGGAGGCAAGTGATTTGATGATTGAATCCAAAAAAGTAAATTTGATTCAAAGGCAATCAAATAACTTTTGACCTAAACCCCCTGAACCTCAATTATTTGCACATTACTTCAATCCTGTGCAAAATTGCTCAAAATAAGTAGTCCAGTTATGATATAATACAATTATTAGAAAACTAACATTGTTCCATATGGTATTCAGATAAATAGATGGATAGAAAATAGAATAAAAGAGTTGGAAGGGACCTTGGAAGTCTTCTAATCCAGCCCCTGCTCAAGCAGAAGACTCTTTACCATTTAGAACAAATGATTGTGCAGTCTCTTTTTGAAAACCTCCAGTGTTGAAGTACCCATAATTTCTGGAGACAAACTGTCCCATTAATTAATTCCTCTCAGCGCCAGGAAATTTCTTCTTAATTCTAGGTTGGATCTCTTTAATAATCTTCCACCTGTTACTCCCTGTCCTGTCCTCAAGTGCTTTGCTTCTCTGCGACAACCCCTCAAATACTGGAAGACTGCTATCATTTCATCCCTACTCCTTCTCTTCATTAGACATACCTAGTTCCCGCAACTGTTCATCATATGGTTTAACTTCCAGAACCCTTATCATATTTGTTTCTTTTTCCTGCACTTCTATATATATGTCTAATTGAAAGAGGGCAGTTAAGAAAATAAAATAAGTGCAAAATGTTGAAGGGAGATAAAATGAATCAACTCATTTGTTGGCATAACTATTTAATAATAGGATGGAAATGCCACCAGCAAAATTTCTTTCTCTTTTTATGCCATCACTGAACACTGCCTGAAATGTGTATTCCATTCTCTGTGATTTTAAGTCAGGCAGATAATTATTGCTTGTTTCAAAATCTCTTTTTCTATTCCAAAATGGACTGCAAAGAAGAGCAAATACATTGCTCTCTACATATATTCATTGATCTGCAGTCAGTACTGCTTTGACACTAAAAACTTGAGATATATTAATTCACGTTTTTTTTCTAATGCATTTTCGACAAATAAAATATTTATTAATAGAGGCATAAAGGAACCAAATATGTATATCCTTGATAAGAAATGGGAAGCATTGAAAGTTCACATGAGCAAGATAGATCCTGTCAATCTTCTATGGTCAGTGTTATTTCTCAATTTAAATATTTTATCGCCATTAGTATGCAACCTCAGTGCGTATTAGTATGTGTAATGCCAGTACATACTTTGTATCAGTATGTATTAATATTAATACAAGTTCACGGGATGCAGGCAAATGCTTTGCTGGTCTCTAGATTACAGATCCTCCTTGCATCTAATAGTGTGAGCATACCTGGAGTAAAATGGAATTTCAATTATGGCTGGCCAAAATATGCCCAAAGTCTCTTTACTTTTAGCAGACAATATTGCATATGGCACAAATGCTATTAAATCAGGTAACCCACTGTCTTACTAAAGACTTACACAAAAGTTTTATCCCTGACCAAAGAAAGGATAGATAGCAGAGGTCAATATCTATGCACCCATCTGGGCATATGAAGTCTCCCAGGAAACATAGCTAAATGAGTTTATTCTACTTTATTTATTGTAAGGTAAAGGTAAAGGCTCCCTCGCACATGTGTGCTAGTGGTTTCTGGCTCTAGGGGTGGTACTCATCTCCGTTTCTAAGCCAAAGAGCCAGCGCAGTCTGAAGACGTCTCCGTGGTCATGCGGCTGGCAATGCCAAATATTTGACAGAAATCATCACTCTCGTTCATTGTGTAATCTACAAATGACCCAATCATTTTTTTTCCTGCCCTTTCGGGTCTCATTCCCAACCATTTATTCATGTTGCCTAGCAAAATGTTTCCCCTGAACCAGATTCATTCATAAAATTGTAGAATATTTATCAAAACTGTAATCTGGTTCTTCCATTAGCACCATTCCAGAGGTGGTATTCAGCCGGTTTAGATCGGTTCGCTCAAACTGGTAGCAGAAATCGCGGGTGGGCCCACCCCGCCCATCCGCCCATCCGCCCATCCGCCCCAGCTCTATGCAATCCTATTTAGGCACGTTTTGAGGCTGGGCGCATGCACGGGAGGCACATGCACAAAACACATGCATGGAAGGCTGGCTGCAGGCGCAGAAAGCAGGCACACGCACGTATGAAGCAAGTGTGCGCGCATGGGGTGAACCAGTAGTAACATAATGTGAAACCCACCGCTGCACCATTCACTGGAGCAGAACATATGACTTTCTTCAGTTATTTGTGCTTCCATACATATCTATAACAACCCATTTATACTTATATATTAACCCTTGCACATTCCTGTTTGCTTATTCCTGTTTGGAATATATTTTATGGTTATTCCTGTTGCCTGAATGGAAAATGGATGTAATAAAACAATATATGCAATATGCTTGAGACAGAAGAAATTGTATTTATATATCTTTATCCCTTTATCTATCCAAGTGCCACAGAAATGCATGAGAAATATGAAAAATAATGCTTGGTGGAATTTGAAAGAAACTACAGATGAAGAAAACCGCATATAAGAGAATAATCACTACAATAGATGAGAAAGAGAGATTGTATGGTTGTGTAAAAGGAAAAAAGATTGTTGCCAAGAATGCAGTCAAAGAGAGCAGTGATTGGCTAATATTAAAATAGGAAGAGAAAATACCAAGCAATTTTCATGGAAATAAAAAATTGGCTTGGAGGTGGGTGAAAATTGCTAAACCAGATGCTTCCAGCATAGTGAATGGACTTTAAAGTAAAAATGATGAATTGATTTGCAATGAAGCTGAAGTGAGAGAATGCTGGAAGGAGTATTTTAGACTTTGTACAGGAGTGATATTGATATGTCAATGAGCGAAACTGAAATGAAGGCAATAAATATTAGGATTCAAGAAACCACTGATGAAAAGGAAGTAATAAATGCTGGGAGTATATTGAAAAATGGTAGAGCAACAAGTATTGATGGTATAACTGGACAACTGTTAAAATATGATGTAATTTGCTTCCACAGTCATTCAGTATTAGTAGGAAATAGAACAAGGAAATGTGATGGATTTATAATCATTTAAGATATGTATGGATAAATATATAGGAAATGTTTGTGGTAGCATGTTGACTGGGAGTATGTGAATGTGCATTTGCTTTTCTGTGAAAACAATACTGTGTTGTTGGCAGAGAATGAGAATGCTTTGCAATAAACTTCAGATAGTTTGCATGACACAATGAGCAATAATTATAGGGCTCAAAAATAATGTATCAAAGATCAAGGTAGTTGTGTTTGACAGGAAAACATTTGAACATTTCCAGATCATACAATCATATAATGCATATTAGGCAGATGAAGTAAATTCATTTGTATGCCTAATAAAAGTTTAGTAAAAACTGAAAAATGAATGGGAAAAAAAATTAAGACTTGCCAATGCTGGTAGAATATTAGTTGGTAGCACATGATCTGCTGTAAGGAATGAATGTTTGTTGAAAGGAAAAGCTGGTTGTGTATAAGTTCTCATCATTTTGTTATATAGAATTAAGAGTTGGATATGTCAAAAAAACCACGATCTAAATTGCATGCAGTTGTAATGGATACTTAAGGAATGTGTGAAGAAGAGAAAAAAGGAAGAAGAAGGGAGAAAGAAGGGAAGAGGAGAGGAGCAGGAAATAATAATGAATAAAAGTAGATATTAAAGTATGTAAGAATTGGATCTGTCAGAAAAACATAATCTAAATTGCATGCAGTTGTAATGGATACTTAAGGAATGTGCAAAGAAGAAAAAGAGGGAGAAGAAGAAGGGAGAAAGAAGGGAGGAGGAGCAGAAAATAATAATGAATAAAAGTAAATATAAAAAGTACCAGTATAGGAAATGCACATGGGTATGGTTTGCTCATATGGTAGGAGTGAATAAAGATCAAATTACAAAACAAAGAAGAAATAATGACTGGGTCAAGAGAAGACAATGGTGGTTGAAAGAAACCAGTGAGATCCTCAAAAAGAAAGTTTTGAAGTTTTATAAACAAAAGACCATGCAGTAGGGAGGTAGTAAAAACAAGGAGAGTTTGCAAAGATAGAATAGTACGCAGAGGT